TCAAAAGAACTGCCAAAGAACTAATGTCAGGAAACAGCAGGTTTTTTTCCATTTGCCTTGCTTCATTGTGATTGCAGCTGAACTCAATAGGATCAGAACTGGCTTCAAGTGGGAATGATGGTCATATAACCTGATCTGCAATTTGCTTTAAATCATAGTGGGAATGAGGCCAAGATTTCTCTAAATGCTCACATTTCCCTAAACACAACAAATATAAGTCATTGGGCAGGATCTTACTTGGAGAGTCCTCCAAGAGCAGCAATTCACCTTTAAAAGGTCACACAATCCTACACATACATGCATGCCAGTGGAAAGGGGGAACAGTCTTTCAAAACTAGGAGTGGCCACTTCTACTTATTTATTGCTTGGAATTTTTGGCAGTCCACATATTTCTGGAGTCTTAGGCAAAAAAAAAAAAAAAAGGGGGGGGGGCTTTTGTAGTTTTTAAAGTCACCCAGCCTGATCTAGAAAACAAACTAACCACCCACATAAAGTATCCTTATTGAACCTCAGCTTTGCTGCATTCTGTGACTGAAAAAACAGTATTAGGATGGAGTGTCAATCCTCAGAGAAGACCATATCACAACATGGTTGAGAGACTGCATTTAGCTTGCCAGATCACCAGTTGTACAATGTAATGATGGTCTGTCACCATTTCCCTGGTAGGACTCAAGCTTTTGGTGGCTGCCTTTGACTATTGCTTTTGGGACTTTTGACCACTACTTTTTCTCATGCAGAAATTCAACAGATTCAGCTGTTACCAGCCCAAAAATATTACTTGGGATTTGCTTCACCTCCTAAATATCAAACTATTGCACAGCTGCTAAAAACACAGGAAAGCCACAGGGGAGGGGGGTTTACAACCCTAACTATATTAACATATTGTGAATGCCATCACCCCTGCAAAAGGCAATTAGCTTATTCTGCCAGATTGCTTTAAGCAAAGGCACATTTTCTCTGAAAGACAGTAATTTAGCTCAGAGATAATAACTGCAAACAATAGCTTGCCTCTATAGTTGCAGCATGTGGTAATACCTTCCCCATCACCACCTCCCTTCTTCTGGGAATGCAATGATGATTACAGAAGGCTTATTTAAGCTATCTGGAAGCAGTTTAGGAAATGAAGCTGATAAAAAAGGAGGGTAGGAAAGCAGGGCATGCCCCAAAGAAACATGCTGTTTGCACCAAATGTGACCATTTTAAGTTAATTTTGGCACCACATTAAACTAATGACACTTGTTGACACTCAAAGTGTATCTGAGAGAAAACTACCTTCTCTGTAAAGGACACTGCTCTAGTCTCTGTTTCTTTCTTGTCCTCCAATTTTAAGTAAAATAATAGAGACAGACAGACAGACAGATGTTTTTGTCTGCCATACAATAGCCATAATATGAAAATACTGATGCATTGCCACTTTACCAGTATTTCTCCCCAAAAAAGTGAGCTTATATTTCCCCTGAATAAAAAGTGCCAGGGAAGAATGTAGTAGCATCATTGAGAGTGATTTATTTAAGAATGGGCTTCCATGGATTTCAATCCACTTCTTCAGATACATCTATGCAGTAGAATATTAATGATTCAGGTATATTAGCTCAATTACATCATTGTAAGATTAGGATCAAATAAAATTGTAATAATGACCCTGGCCACAAACTTTTGAAGATTTGTCTAAGATGATAACAGAATTTTCAAGAGGTTGGCCCTTTAAACACACAGTGTGAATGCAATAAAATCTGCTTACCTGAAAGTCATTTTCTGTTATATGTATATCTGTGGTGAAAACTCATATTTTAATATATGGCCTAGAAATCATTGAACAAACAGAAGAGTCTTTATGAAAGGAAATAAATGTATATACATTTGATATTAGAAGTGGCACTACCCTAAAACCCAGGGGAGAACATGCAATCAATGACCTTCCAGTAGCAGTTGGGGGTGGGGTGGGGGTTGTCAAGGAAAGATGAGAAAGAGAAACAGCCAAATTTGGATATACTTATATATTTCTAACCATTAGCAGAGATATGAACAGAAACAGTGGTTTTTTGGCACATTTACATCTCACACAACTGTCATGCTTAAATAAATCAGGTGTTATTACATTCATTCTTTCTTCCTCCTTTCATTTTTATGTTGGATCAGACTTTATATCTATCTGTTTGATATCTCCCACCCTGAGAACTTTATAAGATTATAAGAATCTTCCTGGATCAAACCTCAACATGGGTGTCCCATTGGAATGTGGTCATCCACTGTGGGAAAGAAAATGGTGATGCAGTGATGTCAGTCCTCAACTATTTCATCTTCTCATGAGAGGATGAATAACTAAAGTAGTTTTCTGCATGCTGCAGAAGAAAACAAATGTTTTTCCACAGTCTTTCTCACATATCCAAATATTGTGCAGGAATTGTTCTACAGAGAAAAACATGCTGGAGTTTTTACCACCAAACAAAAAACAAAAACAAAACAAAAAACCCAAAAAAACCCAAAACCTGTTTGTCATGCAGGAAACTCATTTTATGTGCAGAAAAGTTTTTTTTAAAAAAGATATCTGATTCTGTTTTCCACAGCAAGTACAATTGAAATGGACAGTTATTCCATTCAGAATATCCTCAATGAAGGACCATTATATTTAAAAGGGTTAAAAGTGTTGAAATCGTAAATTTTATTTTATTTTTATCATAGGGTGGGAATCCTTCAGACCTCTAGAGGCTGCTAGACTGAAAGTCCAGCCAGTATGTCCAGTGGTGAAGATATCTGGGTGTTGCAGTCCAAAAACATCTGGAGGGCCTTAGGGCCTCTACAGATAGCCCATTTCAGGTGGCTCTGGGCTGCCCCTGCTAGCGGTGGATTAGGGCCATGGCAACCCCATGCTGCAGCCCCAATCCTCCCTTTTGCTGTCCCCAAAAGAGCGGCAAAATGCTGCTCCTTTTAGGGGCAGCAAAAGGCTGCCCTAAGAGCCAGTGCTGCAGCTCTTCTGCACCCTTTTGGTGCAGCGTGTCTACACGCTGTGCCAGGAGGGCATCAGAACAGCATTAAGATGGAGTCAGGGTGGCTGGCGTGCAGCTGCCCCACCCCAACTTCATCCCCAGGCCTGGCCTTTGGGCCAGTCTGCAAAGCCCCTTAGTCTACCCCATTGTTTTGTTCCTTCTTTTTTAAAAGGTTTGGTGGTCTATCAAGTTACCATTCTCTCCTACAGTGGCTGACCAGATACCACTGGAACACCTATCAGGAATTTATGAAGGAAATAGCCCTCTCTTGCTCCTGTTTCTCAATACAAGATATATTCAGAGTCTTGCTGCCTCTGATCCTATATGTAGAATATAATTATTATGAATACTAACCACTGAAAGTCTTATAAATTTGTCTCATCTTCTGTACATTCATATGATTATTTCTAAGGAGAAGGCAGAATAGCTCAGTTGTAGAGTGTGTGTATTGTATATAGTAGCCTCTCAATTTCTAGGTAGTAAAGTTGGTAGTAGAGTCAGTGTAGCGTAGTGGTTTGAGTGTTGGACTATGACTCTACACTACAGACTAAGGTTCAATTCCTCACTTGGCCATGAATCCAACAGGGTGACCTTGAGTAGGTCATATGATTTCGGAGGAAGCAATGGCAAACCTCCTCTGAACAAATCTGACCAAGAAAACCCCATTATAGGTTCTTCTTAAGGTCACCATAAGTCAGAAACTATTTGAAGGTACACAACAACAACAACAGCTGGACTAGGACTCCACCTGAATAGACAGGTGTCAGTCAGAGCAGACAGGGATGAGCTCAGCATATCACTGGTGTGATTCAATATGGCATGGCTTCATTACGAATTATAGCTCCCACAATACCTTATCCAGTATGGCTATTCATCATGCTTGCTGGAATCACAGATCACTTGCAGGCAGTGAGATAGAATTGTTTATTTGACAGGGGGAAATAAAGATTTTTGGGGAGATACTATGTCATTTTATTGAATGATATCTTCAAATTAGCAATCTGTTCCTGTACTTCTGAAATGTCAGTCAACATTTTACGCTAATTGAGATCTAGTTAACACACAACAGTGGCATTGCTTGACAGCTATTAAACATCTAAACAGTCCTTTCAACTTTATTGCTCTAATAAGGCAGTAATTGTGTGCTCATTGTTTCTGTAATTTTTGAGATAAAGCCATGCCAAGCATATATCCAAGTTTTATTATGCCCACAGAAGCTCACTGAACTCCATTGGAGAGATATCAATATTTAATTAATAATAATTGCTGTAGCATAGCCAAACAAAGCACTCTGTATAATTCATGGTTAAGACAGTTACAGGGAGTGTGCATGAAATGGGTGTGCCACGTAAAGGCAAAACAGAATTTTGTTGGCAAAATTGGGACCTGAAAAATGCTCAGAGAGGGGATTAAAAAAAAAACTTGCTTGATGAGCCAATGGAGGATCAAAGAGGTCCCATGTTATCTCCAGTGACTCCAAGATCATAATATAGTCACAGTTATGGTGTGGGGGATGCAGCTGGATTTCATTTTGAATGATTGGAGGTTTAGGTTCATGATGTCTGCAGCCAGAATTTCTGCTTCCTCCAACTAATCAACCATCCCAAGACCACTCCCACCCCAAGCTCTTGGAAGAGAAAATGGAGATTGCAACCGAAGACAAATAACACCAGATTGTTTTTCTTCAAATCTTGGTTCTGTTCACCTATAGGTTCTCATGTACAGATGGACTTTGAAAGTTCAGCAGGTCTGCTTTGCTCTGCAGATGGTTCAATCAGTCACAGAACATACAGAGCAACCATTGTCTTTCCTGGGAGTTTTGCTGCCTTCATCTTTCTTGCCCTACAAGCTCCTTGATTGACTAGGTGCAGAACTTAGGGCTGTTGCAGACCAGCCCAAAGGGCTGGCCTCACTCCAACACCATCCTGACTCCGCACAGCCATACACACAGACGGCAGCATCAAGACACCCTTCCAGTGCAGCATGCAGACACGCTGCGCTGAAAGGGTGTAGAAGAGCCACAGTCTTTTAGTGGCACTCTTTTAGGGGCAGCAAAAGGAAGGATCAGGGCCATGGCATGGGATTGCCACAGCCCCGATCCGCCACCCCCCAGGACAGCCCTCTGCCACCCCAAATGGGTCATCTGCATCGACCTTCATCTATTCTTCCTTCCTAGAGAGTCACAGGCTGGCAGGAATTTGTTAGACTGAATTAATGACTGGAAGTTCTAATGGGATTTTGGCAGCAAATCCAACACAGTTTTATAGTAAACAAGTCTTATGCCATCAAAAGAATCCCATTTTCATGAATTCTCAGCAGATGCCAAAGAAAACAGATACAGTTTTGTTGGTGTTTGGTTGAGAGGAAAAGAGTAAAGCCAAGTATGCTACTTTTCTTTTAAGCCTTTTCCTTATAAGAAATAGTTTCCTGGCTCCTCTGCAAGAGAGATTATAACTGGAATAGTCACTTATTATGAATCACAAGGTGGGATGTTCATTACAGCAATGTTTGAACACGTCCAATGCCAAGTATTGATCATGAACACCAACTTTTGAGAAGGGATAAGTTTCCCCTTTGAAAGAAAAGGACATTGGATAGCAATATTTTTCTCACATATCTTTCAAATATAAAAATAGCAATAGGTTTGCAATAAAAGATTTAAGAAAACCTAGACCTTAGCCTTATTCTTAAATCATGTTACTAATGCTTAAGGCAATGTGGAGTGTTAGCCTGCCACTTAAGAGATCCAGGTTCCAGTCTTCACACAGTCAGGAATATCACTATAGGAGCTTGGGCAAGTCACTTGCATTCTGCCTCATCAAGTCACAGACATACTGTGAATGTGAACCAGCTAGAAGGAAAACTCACTGAAGAAAAGGCAAGAAATAAATTTAACAAATAAATGTATTTTATTTGTTCTTTCCCACTTATATACCTACTCTGTACACCAGATGAAGTAGACACAAACCTACAAAACCTTATGCTTCATTAAGCATGTTAGGTTTCAATTCCTAGCTGCTGCTAGACTCTGCTGGTTTGATAAAAAGATGAGGTTGTCTGCTGGGACCCTTTCTCTCTACACAGATTATAACACTCTGATTTAATTGTCATGGCTGCATCATAAGGGATCTTGTGTTTGTAGCTGGTGAGGCAATAAGATTCTCTGGCAGAGAATTCTAAATGTCCTCCTCTAAACTGCAAATCCCATGATTCCATAGGATGTCAGAATGGTCAAAACGAAATAACAGCACATTACTTGTGTTGTGTCAAAGAGCACCCAGTCTCTGACAGTGTACAAATAACATGGCTCATGTACCATCTGCATCCAAGGGCAATTTTAGTAGTCCCCTGGTTCCTTCCAAATGCCTAGATGACCGTACAGAGGTATTCAGCAAAAAATGAGAATTGCTATTCTTTGGAGTCTCTAATAAATTCTCCTTCTTTAAAAAAAGGTACAGGGTGCCCACATTGTTAGGAGATTTATGAAACCAGAAAGGCACCTGCAACCACTTCCATTTTAATTTCTTAGGTCTAACAGCCCAACATCTGCTGTCACTACCCCAACGTACGGATAGTGGGCTGCTCCACACAGATAGATTAATAGCCCCACTTTAATTACCAGAAAATCAGTTATCATGCAATTAGAGGTAGGGGGTAAAATGTATGATTTTGTGTTTTATTTCTTTTTCTGTTGCTTAATTTAGAAATAGAGATGCTCTAAATCCTTATGAACAATGAAAGGACCCAGTAGCATCCACCATCCTCTCAGCTGAAGAATTTGGGCCTCTCTCATTACTGAATCATCAGTAAAACTCATATTCAGAATTTACACTGTTTAATATAAATTCATCTTTATAACTGTTTCCTCGTGAGGGGATTCACTGTGCCTACACAATCCATGTTGATCTCATAATAAATCAGTTAAACTCGTTACTGTGTCTCATAGTAAGAGTACTCTGTTGGCCTCTTGTCTCAAAATTACAACATAATAAAATTAATATGATTTAATGTATTCCACTCTTTCTCTAGGAGTTAAGGGTAGTCTGTTTGACTACCATAGGCTTATCTTCATAATAAATCTGAGTATGATGGGGTGAAGAGATAACAAATGGTCACTCAGTAAGTTATGAGGGTTTCAACATGAGCATCCCTATGACCCTGAACAATGAGCTGGGGCTAAGTTGTAAAGCCTGGAGCCAGGATATCTGAAATATCATCTTCTCCTATATGAAAATACCTGGAATTTGAGATCTTCACCAAAAGCCCTCTATCATGTCCCTCCCCCCAAGAGGCTAAGCTGGAGTACTCTCTCTATGGCAGCCCCTCAGTTGTGGAAGTTCCTTCCAACCAAAATCAGACTGACTTCAGTCTTAACAAATATGTGGCAAGGCATTAAAATTGTATTATTGTTTCAGGCTTTTGGCTTTAAAACATTTTAAATCTATTTTTAAATAAAATTTTCTTATCTTTTAATACCATGATTGCCCTATCACTTTGGGAGCACCAATAGACAGAAAAGCAGATTATAATAAATAATAATAATAATATTTTTTTATTTATAGCCCGCCCCTCTGCACGGCAATCGGAGCGAGGTACAATAATTTTTAAAACAAACAAAGTTAAAAACATTCCCTCATCCCATAATCCCACCCTCCCAAACCCTTAAAACAGAATTAAACTAGAAAGCAATTAAACATATAACAATAAATTAAAATATCCTTGGTAGCACAAGGAATCAGAAATAACAAATTAAAAACTCATCTCGCACCAGACAAGTTATTCCGGGAAGGCCTGGGGAGGCCTGGAATACATTATAAATACATTGTTGCTGCTAAATGCTTTCAGGTCAGTTCCAGGTTATAGTAACCTCAAGGTGAACCTATCATTGGTTTTTCTTGACAAGATTTGTCCAGAGGAAGTTTGCCATTCCCTTCCTCTGAGGCTGGGAGAGTGTAACTTGCCCAAGGTCACTCAGTACATTTCCATGGCTGAGCTGGGATTTGGCTCCAGTATCCCAGGGTCCTAGAGTCCCTACAGTTGGTTATGACTAGACATTCATGTCAAGGGAAAACATTTACTTTTTAAAAATGTATATCTTTATTCAACAAAGGAAATATACAATACATAAAACTATCACACACAATAACGATCAATCATAAAAATAATATTCACAAAATAAAGACACACCTTCCTCACCTTCACCTTCATCTACTCCATCTGTTTCTCTCCATGCTACCATCAAAAATTCCTTGAACACCTTCTTCCTTCCTTCTCTATACTAAACTTCATCTTCCTTCTCCCCTTTTCTCCTTCCTTCTTTTCTATTTCTCATGTCCTCTCCATATTCTATTCTATTTTCTTCTCATTCTCACATCCACCTGCCACTCCTTCACTATTCTATTTATCCCTCTCCTGCTCTCTCCCCCTCTCCTTCTCTCACACTTTCCCCTTACCTTTAATGACTTGCTCATACCTTCCATCATTTCCCAACCTTACCCCTCATACTTCTCACATTCTTACACTGACTTCCTCCCTTGTCTTCTCTAGTATCTTCTTTACTATCTCTTCACTTC